GATCAAAAGCCAAAAAAATGGCATAATGTTAACATTTCAAAATGAAACCAAAACATACATTTATCTTTTATCTTTTTCTCTTCATCTTCTCTTGTTTAAGACATGATTAATCAGTGTCTTTCGCATTATTAGATTACATAATGGTAACTTCCAGTAATTACCTAAAAGTTGTTAAGGGGCCCCCTGGTGGCCATGGAGTCCTAAGCACCTGCTTATGTTGCTTGTTAGGTAGAGCTTTAACTGTAAGGATGGGAGAGACAGTCTCCAGATCGCCCCCTGCTGTTCGCATTTAAAACACAGGTTAACAATGAATTAGAGGTCATACATGTTAAAGGTTCTATAACATAACATGTCATATCCCTCCAATATTCAATAGTACTCAACACTACGTCAGTGTTCCAAATAGTTAATTGACAGCGAAGGACAGAAATACAGTTTTCATGGCTGTTTCCACAAAGTGAACTGCGAAGTGTGTTGCACTGATGACATCACTGTCATCCCACCAAGCCCCCTAATTGTGATTGGCCCTGATCACCATGTTGTTTGTTCTGAACCTCCCCCTGACTATGATTGGTCCTAATCCTCACATCATTTGTTCTGAGACCTCCCCATGATTGTGATTGGTCCACTGCACAAAACAGGCTTCTAGTGGTGCTCAGATACACACTAAGTTATTTTTAAGTATACTTACAACATTGTGTTCAGTTTAATACACAAAATATTAACATACTACAGGGTTTGGTGGAAGTAATGTTGCTGTGCCAAAATCTGTCATAAGCTGTGATCTTGTTGGGCCATTTTGGAGCTCCTGCCGAATTGTAAAAAAGTCTTTTTTTGTTTTTATTAACTGTTCTTCTTTTGTACTTCTTTGTAAACTCTCAAGTGGTGCAACCATCTAAGTGTTAGCCTTACTATCAGAACATCGCAAATTGCTAGCCAAAGCAGGCTTTTGTAAGCAGACATAATAGAATTTTCAATAGAATTGAGAACTGTCAAATGACGTTGTGTTAGCGGCAGTTTGAAAAAATACTGTGGCTGACTTTGTGTGTCTTGGAGGAAGCAGAGACTGGGTAGCATCATGTGACTGGGGGAGACCTAGCTAGTGAGTGGAATTGGCTATGACTAAATCTCATATATGAGTGCTGCTTTGTTCACTGTCCTTATATTTAAGTTCCAGCTGGATCTTGTTAGCCAGCTAGGGCTTAATTTATCATCCACTGTTGCTGTGACCGAAATGGATCCCTGTTTGCATTTTAGGGTATTATTTTGTGCGTCTGGCATTTTTCTATGAGTATCTAAATCATAATCCAGCGTAGATCACTAAATCAGCTGCTTGTATGTTGATATGCGTTGCGAGTCGTCTATTACTAAGACAAAGGGATGCTAATTAACATTAATGGTGGCCACTAAGCCACTGAAGATGAAACTTACCAGACTCTCTTCACTATTTGGAGAAACACCATAATAATAATAATAATAAAACAGCTGAAGACCTGCTCATCACAGCAAAACACTGGCTGGTTGCTGAAGGTTACTGCAGTGATGGACAATTATGAGTTGTCTGTCTTAGTCAGGTTTTGTACTTTTTCCCCTGGTCCTCATCCTCTGTGCTTTTCAGAATGTTACAACCATGATGATGCACGGGAACGAGATCTTAATGCATTGCCATGACTTAGCAAGTCGTGGGAACGAGACAGTTAAGTTGGGGCCACACATTTTTTTTTATTTACTGGGGATGTTGCCGGCAGGGCTCCGTAGGTTTGTTCTTGCAGCTGGTTTTGAAGCATTGATGCAATGCGATGGTAGTACATTTCAGAATTTCTGAATTATTGATTTATGAGTTTTTACTGTGATTTAGTAAATTAAATAGTTCACCTATTCACCCCTACACAGCACAGTACTAATGAGAGAGTTGGGATCCATTTTGGTCACAGCCCATGTTTTCAAATTTTCCCAGCAGTGAGCATCCCCTCCCTTTTCACTATGCATTGCACTGTGGGACAGCAGCTGTCTATCTGTTAATCTTTTATTAGCACTTTCTTTTTTTTCTTACATACTTTCTTGTAGTTATAAAGAGTTTTTGTAGCTATCCTTTATTTTGTTTATTTCATCATTTGAGCCCTCACATATACGTATATGACTTTTTTTTGCAAAAATCACGGCATGTTATTGTTTGATGCCCTGTATTTACAATAAAGGGGTCACTAAAATGTAAATAAAGCATAGTTTGACTTATTAAAGTAAAAGGTTGTACAAAATAAAATAGAAAAAACAAAATAACCGATAACCCAAAAAAGGGTAGAATTAAAATGTAGGGATTTTTGTTGGAGGTGCTCAATTTTTTTAATCATAATTACTTTTTAAAATCTATTTAATGCTTTTGTACCCTTTTATTTACACTGTTTTTGTTTTATTTCCAGACTCTTTGAAGCGCTTTGAGCTGCATTGTTACGTATGAAAGGTGCTTAATATAAGTCATTAGAAAGTCGTACTGTGGCAGATGTGAAAAGCGAGTTACATTCTGTGAAACCTTCACTTTAAACCCTGAATAATCGTGAACAGTCACATAGGTATGGTGGACAAGAATGCCCAAGCAGATTGTGGTACATTCTGACAGTTACATAAGGTTGACAGGGTATCAGTGTAGTACATAAGTGAGGCCTCTATTCTCAGAAATAAAATAGAAAACTCAAAGCCTCTCAGATCATGTATTCATGTCTTTTTTTAACCGATCCACTACTGAAATTGTCCTGCTCCCGTACAACTCTATTACGCTGCCATTCGTTTTTGGTAAAATGCCCAGAAAAGTAGGCCGTACCACCTTCCATTCAGACAGCACTTTGCTTTTAGTGCGTTTGCTCGCTCTTGTTCTGCCTACAGTCCTCCAAGCACTCTCTCTCTCTCTCTCTCTCTCTCTTTCTCTCTCTCTCTCTCTCTCTTTCTCTCTCTCTCTCTGAAAAGCCAGCTGTCAGACTGAGTCTGGGACTATAGCTCTGCATCATTTCTCAGAATGATGCTGTAATTGTGCAGCCCTTTATAACAGGCAGGGGAGCAGTAAACTAAGTAATCAAAGCTGTTATGGCAATACAAGGATGACAGGGTATTACTTTCAAGCCTACATACAATGATAAAAGTTCTACTTCTATGGAAGCACAAATAATGTGTGAAAGAATTGATTGTGCGCATTCTGTATACATTCTGAAGAGGATACAGAATGTGTTTGTGTGTGGCCTCCTCCCTACAATGCATAATTCAGTGGAAATCATTTTCAAAGCTTTGAAATGTCCATTACTTATTAAATAAATGCCCTCTTGCTCGTCCTCTCTACATTAAGACACTTGCTTTAGCCTCCCTGTATGAGGCCAGATCTATGGAACACTGGTTACTGATGCCTCTGCACAATATAACTCCCTAATTTACTTAATAACGATGTTGTGTGTTCTGACCACTTTACTGGAAACACCTCCCCTGTAGCTCCACTTTGCTGGTGTACAATTAGATGCAAAGTTTGTTTCAGCCATCTTCTAGGTCTTTGCCAGTGGTCAGTTTCGGTTACAGGTACTGTTACTACCCAAGTTTAGGTGCAGTCTGTACACCTATATGGGCCAATTCACTGAATCAGTTCAAACTGTGGTCTCACAAACTATTAAAAGAAAACAATAAGTGCTCAGATATTGTGGTGTTCCACCACTGGCTGCACTGCGGAAGGTGTTTGCAGGTGTGGCCATGGAAAGGGCTGTACGAAGAGGCTCATTGGAGATGAGCACTCCACATAAAAAGTGGCTGTTATTAGTGTTGGTGTGCCATATTGTGGGTTATTTAGTTGGGTCACGTGTTTATCATAGAGTAGAATGGCATGGCTTTAGGTGATCTTTCCAGCTATTCTGGTGATTAGCTAGTGGCTTTTTTGCTGTTTCTTTAATGGAAAGCTCTCATTTAAACAGAAATCATGGCCTTACCTGACTCTTCTTCTGAACAATGCCACATAAGGATTATGTTATAAACTGTTTAAACCAAAGGTATCATTAGATATTGTAATAAGCTAAATATATACAAAACATGTTATAGTATACTATCTATTGGGAGGTGGAATTCCCAAACTCTGTGAAAACAGTTTTTTTTTTTTGCATTTTTCAATGTTTTTCTAAACCCTTTTGAAGTCGAACATTTTAGATTTATCAAGAGGTTAATTTTTAAAGAAAAACATGCTGTCCCACATTTTCATGTCACTACTGAAACACAAAGAGTTTTAGTCTGTGGGTTGAGCCTTATTTTAGCCACACCCCTGCCTCTTAGAGCAGGAAGTGAGACTGCATCCCTGTCCCGTGTGGCCACATGGTGAGCAGTTAGATCCCATTGTTCTGAAGTATGTGTGTACCAAAGTCTCAAAATCAACCAGTTCAGTAGAATGATCCATAGGGTCAAACTCCAAGGTGGATGGACCACATAAAGTGGACTGTGAGTGGAAATGCAAGATATATGCCCTCTTGCTCATCCTTTCTACATTAAGACACTTGCTTTAGCCTCCCTGTATGGCCCTTTAAGAGACTGGCTGTTAATATCCATATTATCGTGTTCAAAACATTAAATAATGTCACTGAAATTCTGCATGTTTATATATTACGGATGGTGTTGAATTCACATCTATGGAACACTGGAAACTGATGCATCTACACAATATAACTGCGCAGATCCTAATTTACTTAATAACTGTGCTGTAAAATATTGACTATTCTGACCACTTTATTAGAAACACCCCCCCTGTAGCTCCACTTTGCTGGTGTACAATTAGATGCACAGTTTGTTTTAGCCATCTTCTCTGCCTTTTCCAGTGGTCAGTTTCGGTTACAGGTATTGTTACTACCCAAGTTTAGGTATAAGGTAGATGGACCACATAAAGTGGACTGTGAGTGGAAATGCAAGATATATGTTTCTAATAACACATTATAAAGTAGTCTAATGTAAATGACAAGTCAGAATGAATGAACTTGCAACGTTTGACGTTAAAAAGTTTATTGAAAAGTTCATAGAGCTCTCACAAAAGCTAGCATTAAAGAAATTGCTATCCTTTAAACAAATCTACCTAAAAGGACATCATAAGCAAGAACAAACCGGAAAAACAGGCTCTAAGATGAGCTTCTGGAAGCAATGACGACTTCACTGTCTGATCCAAAATGATTTTGTGCTGTCATATACAGCTTTACATGGATGCTAACAGGCCTTAACTCCTCAAGCAGTGGACTATATGTGAAATGAGCAGTCATTTTTGATTGACCCCAGGAGAGAATAAATTGCTGTAGTCTTTTCATATGGTGGAGGGAAGGAAATAACCTCTTTATGAGGTGAGCGGTGTCAAGGCTGTTTCAGTGTAGCGCTGGCTAATCGCTAATGTGTTTGTGTGTGCAGTGTGAGAGAAACAAAGATAAAGAGACACCCCAAGCTCACTGCTTTGCAAAGGCACTGTGTGCATGCTCCATTATTCAGATGAAGTACGTGATTACCACAGAACCGACATATGGTGATGCAGATACATTTACATAGCCAGATTCAGTTCATTACCAAGAGCAGAGATAAGGATCACACATACGTTCACTGTGTGATGAGGGAATGGATAGCATTGTGGGGATGGGCAAGAAGAAAGTCTAAATTAAAGGAATACTTAAGTGAAAAATCGGCTTTACGCAATTTTCCTCTTACCCCAGATCAGCCAAGACATGTTTGGTGTCCAGATATTGCTTTTTTAATGTACCACTGGAGCACTGTGGCTACCGTTGCTGACAAACACTAGAAATCAATAGTCCCCCAAATCTTTTCTGTAAAAGCGTACCCCTTAAGTTCTCTTAACAGGCTCAGACCACATCCAGCTCTCCATTAAGGTCGTGGAGACTTATCAATGTGGTTTATGACAAATTACATTCACCTCTTCTGTTGTTTCCTCACCTGCTACATAAATTGCTATGTGAAAATTTTGATTATTTTCACAGTTCACATTAGGTTATACTGTGTCCTAAACCACATAGACAAGTCTATGCAATCTTAACGAAGTCCTGGACACAGTTTGAGCAAAGTTTTTGGCATGTATTTACAGAAAACGTTTGGGTGACTATTGACTTGTAGTGTTTGTTAGCTACATAAGTCTTGTAGCTCCAAAGCTAAACTGAAAAAGCCAAACCAGACATGTCTTAGCTGATCCACTACATATGGAGTAAGTAAAAAAAAACGTTCTTTTATAGCTGTCTACCTCCATATACACCTCGGCAAATGTCCTCCAGAGCTTGCATTAGACAGGCGGAGACTAGAGCATGCAGTGGCTACGCATAAGAATATCAGAGCATTCGCTACTGTCTTATACTTAAAGGAATACTTCAGTTTTTCACCCTAATCTCTATCTGCTGAACCCATAGGATATGACTGATTATCACAGCCAGACCTTCAACACAATTTCCTGTAGAGAACAGAAACCTGAAATGCTCTAAATACATTCACAATAGAGGGCTAAAGAACCTGCCCATTGACTTCTGTTGCAAGTCTGTTTCAAGCCAGTGTTTTTTCTGTTCTTTTCTAAGTACAGAAAAGTCTGTGGTAATCAAACATACGCTACAAATGCACCAAACAGACATTAGAAGTATTCCTTTAAGGAGCCAAGTCCAAGCGTCAGTGTATGTGTACCTTTCTACTGAACACAGAAAAATTGCTTGTGTGTGCATCTCATCTATCTAAAAGTGGTGCTTGAGATATTTCTCATTCTACTCCATCACTTGGCATCGCCCGGCTTCTTGGCGACGCTACTGGCGCTTGTGTTTACGGGGATGGTGATCTCAGAGGACTGGATGGCGGGTTTGGGCAGGGGCGCCTCCACGGTCAGGACGCCCTCTGGGGACAGAGAGGAGATGATCTTCTCCGCATCAGCACCAGGGGGCAGCCTGAAGAAGAGAACAAAGGGTCTGTTAGGCCAGTGTAATACAGGAGCTGTTATACAGGTTCTGTGCAGGTACATTTTTTGTTCAACAAGGTACAAACAATATAAATGTACCCTCAAAGGTACAACAGCGATTTTAAAGTCCAGTTGTGTACTTTAAATACGTTTTTCCCAGTGGAAAAGTACATATTTGTACCTTTTCATAACCTAATGTTTTAAAACAGAACAATAGAATAAAAAGCCTGGAGACGAGACGGGGTGTGTGGAGTCAGTACAACTTAGAAAATATCATTTCGATGGATTATGGTGCAGTTATGTTCCTGACTAAAGGTACTGAGACGTACCCTTGAGGGTACCACCCCAGTGCCAGGTTTGAACCTTTGTTTCTGTGTTTTTAATTGAAAACAACACAAAAAAACATTGTATTTTAATATTTTACCTCATCAACTTTGTAAATTTATTTGTAAATATAAGCTAAATCCAAACTTGATGCCTGCAGTACTTTCCCAAAATGTTGGGACAGCACTGGGAAGTTTGTTGAGTGATCCATATGCAAATAGGTGAATATTAAACGATTCGTAATAAAGTGAATAAGAGTGAAGTGAATAATAATAATAATAAAGTGATGCTATCATGATTGAGCATAAAAACATTCGTGAAAGCCTAAGTTGTTTATGAGCAAGGATGGGTTGAGTTGTGCTACTTTGTGAAAAATTGCATGAACGAACAGTTTAAGAACAATGTTACTCAATGCACGATTGAAAGGAATGTAGGGTTTTCACCATCAACAGATTTTAACATTATAATAACATTCCGAAAACCAACACTGAATGACCACTGACCTTCAGACAGCACTACATTATAAAACTGATGTAATGAATATAACCACATTGGCTTGGGAATACTTCACAAAACCTTCTCTGGGCTAAAGCTGATCTGAAATCAACTGAAGCAAAGTGGAAATGTGTGCTGTGGTCTGACGAGTCCACCTTTCAGATGAAAAATAAAAAGACAAAAAGGACCATCCCGATAGTTACCAGAGGACAAAAGCCAGGGTCTATCATGGTTTGGGGATGTGTTACTGGGTGACTTGCACATCTGTGAAGGTACCATTAGTGCTGAGGGGGACATGTGCATTTTGGAGCAACATATTCTGCCATCTAGATGACGTCTTCTTCAGGGACCACCCTATGTTTGTTTCAGCAAGACAATGCCAAGCCAATTCCGCTTTCACAGCTACGACTATTGATATCCTCAGTTCCCAAATGATTATTGAACGTTATTAAAAGATGATGTAACACAGTGGCAAACATGCCCTGTCCTAAGTTTTTGGAACATTTTACAGGCATAAAATTGAGAATAGTATAAATATTCAATAATAATATAATATACTTAGTTGAAATTAGTTGCTATTACTAGTAGGGGTGTGAATATTTGAGCAGTGGATTGATTCAGCATTATTTTGTATACTTTGTGATCGATGGAGTTTCATGAGGAAGAATTATATATAACAATGCATAGTGACATCACTTCTAGCTAACTCATTTTGAACCTTACCCAGATAGCTGAGCAGTCTGCTAGTTGGGTAAGGGGATCTTGGCTGTTATAAAGTTATGTTAGCTATCTAGTCCACAAACCACTATGGTGACAGCCTGTTTTTGTTGGGGTCATTACTGTTTTGCTATACTATTTAAATATAATTACAAAATTACATGGTTAATTGCATAGTGAGCTATGTGAGGACATTGATATTCGATTTACATTCTGTATCAACAGCCTCGAGCCTACACTACTAACTTTTTCTAATAGTTTGATGTCAACAAATGTCAAAAATGGTAAGGATTTTTTTTTTTCATATAACAATACATTTTCATTAAATTTAAATCATAATAAAACAACTTTCTACTCATGATTTATAGTTTTAGATTTAAAGTTATAATCAATCTGCACTTTCAACAGAATTTCCCTGTTTTAAAGCAGAGGTGTCAAACTCAACCAGTAAAAGGACCATATTGAAAAATGTCATCAAATCTGTGGGCCAGAGAAAAAGATGTTTTTATTTCATTTTTAATTAATGTTGTGCTGTAACCCGAACTGGCCATTGTTTATTCAAAATATGCAAAAACGTCAACAGTAAAATACAGACACTTGTAGTAGACCTTGAAATGTTACATGGACACTTAAAATATTGAAAATCTAAATGTTCCCAGGTGCTCAGTCTTTTAAATCTACCTATCTGATTAAACTAGACACCTGGCATCCTTTTTTTTTTTGCTGCAAGTTCATTAAGACTTGGGCTCAGTTTCTGAGCTGCTGATCTAATGTAAAGTGTTTATATTGGTTGACCTGTAGCTGAAAGGCATTTTGGTGACATGACTAGTGTGGAAGTGCATAGAGTTGTGTAGAACAGAGGTGTAACTGCTGTCGCATAGATTGTTGTTGGGTAGGAGAGTCGGAGCACATTACGTTGCAGTGCATGCTGGGCACTGTAGTGCAGTGCATTGTGAAACAGGCTAATATTAATAGAAAACTGTAATACTTTAGCAGGCTGGATACGATGGCCCTTCACACGAGTTTTAAAGAGTGAGCCAGAAATGATTAAAATGGAATTACACTATGCCTTTGTTAGCGCTGACAGTAATGTACTTAGCACACTGTGCTGCACTCTGCCTTTAGCCAATAGCGCTTGTGTTTTGTATGTATGACGCAGAAGTGGAGGGGAAGTCAGTGAGAAAATGGAATGGAACTGGGGGGCAGATTTGAGCAATCAGCTAAAAGTGAAACCCTCAGTGAGCTGAACTGAGCGTGGACCATAGGGCTTCAGGGCTGGGCATGAGAAATGCTGCATGAGGCAATATTGAGCCTGAGGAGATGGTATTGATCTCATCTGTCTAATAGAACATTGTGCTGATGTGCTCTAATGGAACTGCAGCGATGCTGCTGGAGTCTCATTTTATTCAACATAATTAGATGCACCTTTAGGCAGGGGTCAGGCATAATTTGGTTAGAAAACAATAAGGGTAACTGTGGCCTTCTCTAATGGCACTGTACCCATTTGCCATTGAAATGAAATCACATAGCAATGAACAGTCTGCTCCACAATTCTTAGGAAAGAGGCTTCCTCTTGGTGGCGACAAAGCTCAGCGATGGGCTTGCATTTGTCTGAGAGAGTAGCGAGAGAGAGAGAGAGAGAAAGACAAAGGAAGCAGCTGAGGGAAAGGCCCCACTCAGACAGACGGGATATGATCTGAGGCAGAAGAGAGAGAAACGAAGGAAAGGAGGAGAGAGAGGGGGAATATTCTGCTTGGCTCACTCGTCTTGCTCTGCTGTGAACCTGTCTATGCATTTCTGGAGATTTGCAGGCCTGGGACTCAGATAAGAGAGAATAGAGAACAGAGCTGTGTGCTGGTGGAGGGGAGAGAGGGGCAAAGGGCTTCTGGAATGTTCTGCTGGTGTGAATAGAGGCTTAGCTGCCAGGCTGCGTTATTGAGTCACAGGCCAGGGAATCAAAATACGCCAAATATTCAATGAGTACAAATCGAGGCGACTGAAGAACAGCAGCAATGAAGTTAGTCTTTGTCAGAATCACAGAAAATATTTCACGTCAAGTTTTAAAAAACTATCCTTTTTCTGAACTATAAAAATTACAATGTTTACTAAAACTTTGCAGTTGTTTTTTTACTATCAGGATTTTTTTTTCTCTTTTCTATCTAGGTAGATACGTCCAAGCGAGCTCTCCCATTGGTTGGGACTTCAGGAGCTGTACTGAAGGCCTAACAAGTGAGATTAACCCATAACATAATTTGTAACTGTCAGAGGAATCAACCACTCATTAGTTTACAATCACCTTTGTGAGACAAAATGTTACTCTAGACCTTCTGGAAGTTCTAGATACGTCAGTGACTGTGAGTATGAGTGGTAGCCTGACCAGTGCCTTTTAGCCAGTTGTTAGAAATAAAAAACAGCAGCAGCTGTGTGACTCTTTACTGAAAGTCTCTGTAAAACTGCTACATACAAAGTAAAATATATGCTGTCTTATACAAGCTTCAGATGTCTACGTTTAATATAGAACGGACAAAAAATGGGCACTGACAGATTAGCGTTATCGTAGCAGTGTTTTTCCTTGTTTTTAACATTTGTATCCCAGACTGAAGGTCTAGCTCTAATAGTCACGGTTCACAACTGAATTTTCTGCCAGCTGCATTGCCAGGACACTATATGAAATGTATGTGTATAACAAACAAACAAATAAATAAACTTACTTATTTACTGAAAAATATACCACAATTGAAGTTGTTGTAAACAAATCTGTCATTTTTGTCTCATTACTATTACTGTTAATTTAATAACTTTCTTTCTTTCTTTCTTTATTTATTTATTTATTGTATATAATTAATAATTATACTGATAGTTTAGTTGGTTTTTATTTTTATTTTTGCTGAATTTAAGTTCTTGGCTTTGTACAATAGCAATTTATAACACTAACTATAATAGCAGAAACCTCATAGAGTTGTGTGGGAAAAAAACACCCTCTTTGACCTGAATTTTATCATAATTTCCATAATACATCCAATGCAGTGCATTCAGCAAAATGTGGTAACAAGTAAATTAACAAGTTTTATTCAACCTAAATAAATACTTTGAATGAACGATTCTTTCAATCAGTGCGTTTATTTGAGTTGAATAAAACCAGTTCAGTTGCTTGTTACTACATGAAGTCATTTTTTAAGTTGATGAGCCATTTTTAACAGTGTAGATGTAACTCTGTAATTTATATGTACTGTATTTGGCCGACACTCTTATCCAGAGCGACTTACAATTTGATCTCCATTTTACAGAAGTAGGCGAATGCAGTGTTAGGAGTCTTACCCAAGGACTCTTATACCTATAGCATAGTGTGCTTGCCTAGGTGGCAGTGGTGTTACCCATTATGTGATTCTAACCCTGAGTATCCTATTTGAGATATTTTCAATTTTAGGTTATTTCTGTCTTTAGACATTTTGGCTGAACAAAAAGTTACTGTTTTATAGTCTATGATATTCTTTCCTCTTTCCTGCTTATTTATACTACATAGTGTAAGTGCAGACAGTAGTGTAGTATTATAGTGCTCTGACTGTGTACTTACGTGTACTTCCTGGTGAAGGATCTGGACACAAAGCCATGCTCGTCCCTCCTCTCCTCGTGTTTTCCTGCAGGGAGAAATCACAAACCAGTTTGTTTTGGTAAAATGCACCTCGGACTTGTTTTTCAACCCCTACGTGTTTACTTCTTTCTTTTTGTGGTAGCGATCCATGCTGTGTCACAGTGCTGGACGACATGAGTTCTGGCTAAATGTAGAAGGATGCACTGAAATAGCCCTTTTAAGGACACTTGGCCTGCACGTTTCATTCCAAAGCACAAAAAGTACTGACTGAGGATTAAGTGGGATCTTGTGAACTTTAGAATATATGTGTAGTTTCACTGGCCACCTGCCAGAGGTGAGTATTCACTAGTTACTTTTACTCAGTTATTGCTCAGGTTTTGACAGATTCTATTTTCAGGTCCTAATTCTCTTCATTCCCTTGTGTCACTTTGACTGTGTTGCTGCTGCTGCTCACTTTTGAGCTTTATTATTTAGAACAAAATGATTCAAAAAGAGAAGAATAGAGCTTAACAAGCTTCAGTCTCCATGCTGATAGATGCTGCATGTACTAAAAGTTACACTGAAGTTCTGTGGAACAGTACAGTATTGAAAAACAGAGGAAAAGATAGTTAAAACGAATACACGAATGCTCAAACGACATTAAAGTTGTGGTCACACTTTATTTGGATGGTCCTGTATAGATGGTCTACAGATACTTAAATCATTAACAAACTTTCTGGTGATAATCAGTTGATTATCATTGTTAGGTTTAGGCTTAGGAGTAGGTGTAGATTTTGCCTTGGGGTTAGATTTAGGGTTAGGGATGGATTTAATAAAATCGTTCACACTGAACTTCAAGTTTTGTTGCATTTACTGGCAATTTAGTTGAATGTTACAGACAGACTGAGCATTTACGAAACAACTACAGTGGACCATCCAAATAAAGTGTTACCAAAGTTGCTTACAAATTCCTTAATCTCCAAGACCTTAAGATTTGGGGATTTTTTGGTCTGATACTCAGGTTGTTTCTACTTGGCTACTTTTCATTCTATTCAACTAATGCCTCTTCACTAAAGTAACAGAACCTTTACTTGAGCTTTACTTGGGTTTAGGCCTCTCTGTCCACCTTTGCTACTCTGTGTGACAACTAGCACCTCCATGTCCTCTGCCCTTGGTCACTATTTGGCCTGACAAAAGTGACCTCCATTCTTTTTATATCCCTGCTTGACCCTTCATCTCAAAACCAACCTGGCAACCCAGTGCTATGGCAGACTGTTTTGACAACGACTCTGATAATCACAGGAAACCATAAGCCCAGCTATTCTCCCAAAAGGCTTAAGACACCAGCAGAGTGTTCTCATCAAACCTTCACTCCAAGGGTCATCATAGGGACAAACTGGGCATAGTGACTCATGATCACGACTATTTTTAATGGTCAAGGACATCATGAAGATCATTAAAAAAGGCTATAATGGTTCTGTTATACAAGCCAGCCATAATGTTCGGCAGCATCTGAGGTTAATTTCATTGAAGGCTTGTTTGTGTCTTCATGGCACGTTTACTGGCAAAATCAGTGCTTTAACAAACTGGGTTCTTACAAAGTCTCAGAAAGTGCATCTGCCAAGTTAACTCCCAGCTGTGGTTAAGATAATGGTGTTACGTAAGTCAAGACCTTTGAGGGAAGGGGGGCGTGGGCCTCTTCACTCTGCAATTTCATCTCGCCTTCCTTTTTCCTGGAACTACTTTAATATCAAATTCAGATGGAAGTCTCATCGCTTTCTGGATTGTGACGCTGTGTATTACGAGTAAATAAAACAAAGTTGAGGTTTACTTAATGAATAATGAGGGGAAGTGTAAACACGTTCGCGTCCTCAATGCTGGAGCTCATACTGCAGATGTAAACTGAAAAAACAGTGCTTTGAATTTTCCCGATTCAAATGCACTTGAATAAAACATATATCATCACCACAGTTGCTGTCTGTAGACAATAATTGTACAGTTATATGTTCTGTTCGTGTGTAACTAGTGCACACATTCAGGAACTTTAAATTATTTCTGTTTTTTTTCCAGTGCACATGCTGTAGTGGTGTGACTTGTGCTCTGGGCTGGGTAACAGCTCAGGAATTCGGGGAGCTGTAACATCCACTGTTCCAAACAGCTCCCACAAAAGGCCTAATCTGGGCGGCTCAGTTCCTGCAGCACAACACCCGTTGTGTTATCAGCTGCTCCAACTCGTCTATCTGATACAGCATCTACGTTTTGAAGCCCAGAGAGGATCAGTTAGAGTTGTTAGTTTACATACTGCTCACTGTGTCCTTGTGTCCCTGTGTTATGAAGCTTTTAGAGGCATTAAACTCTTCATTAAAGCCAAAGTCTTCGTAAAACAGTGTCTCAGACACCAGGCAGTGTATTCATAACCATTTCATATCATAACTTTCTGTGAGGGAGCTTTTAGAGGCATTAAACTCTTCAGACATCTGGTTCCTATCACCACCACTGTGAACAATTCTGACTCTGTAACTTTCTCTAGTATGATATATTTCACATGAAAAGGCTCTCAGTGACTTCTTTGTAATTTAATTATACAGAACATTTGATCAGTGATTCCTATCCTGGCCAAAGTGCAAACTTATTATTCAGTTATTAATCTGAAAACTTACTTGGTTACTACTATGAAACTAATATGGAAGTTCTATAATTATGATAGTGAGGAATTGAAGTATGGACTCAGCTTAAGGGATTAGAATCAGGTTTTGTCTGTTATAGCCAAGTATATACAATTACAGTATGAGGGGAGCAGATCCAAGAATTCTCATCAGTCTTCCTTGCAGTCAGTTTATACTGTACTCTATTTTCCTAAACAACAACTTGTGACTGTTTCAGCAGCTAGACATATCACAGTACTCTTTTAAGTATGGTCGCAAAATATCACAAACTATTAAGCATCTTGTCCATTTTACCATCTTGGCTGTAAATATGTCTCAGTGTGTGCTAATGTACTAGCATAGGCTAAGAAATATAATATAAACAACAACGAAGACTTACTTTGCTCTGCTTTAAGCTTTAGCTCAGCTGTAGACGCTTTTCTCACATCTCCAGCAGGAAACTTTTCCGCAAAGGTAGAAAAGTTTCTTATAAAATGTCTTTCCCAAATTCAACTTTTTATGAGGCTGAAGTCGCTTCTCATTCACCAACTTCTTGTTCGAATTTTTCTATTCCACCTTAAATGGTGCCTAAAGTACCAGAATCTATAGTGGATCAATTCAGCTATACAAGAAGATCAATTCAGCTTCGTGACTCTTTAGTGTTTGACAGTTTCTCGTTGCAGATTAAAAGTATCAGGAAACCAGCTGGAGTGTTTATAAATGCAAATAAGTCCATTCAACTCCAAATGAACTATGTTGTCTTAAATCTTTCTCTTTGCCTTTTTGTTAGCTACTAGCTGCGTGCCAACCTTCAGGGTTAAAAGTTGGTGAATTAGCAGTTGTATGCTATTCATTCCAGCATTTAAGGCCATTTATTGTTAAAACTGTGTTGAACGATCAGCAGAGCTTTATTTTACTACAAAGGAGGATTATTTTATTTTTACCTCAAAATCTAATTCTGCTGTGGAGCCACAGGGCAGTAAAAGAGCTGCATGTTGCCGACCCCTGGTATAACCTGTATTAGGTCTGTCATGATCATCAAATTTTAGCTGATAATTAATTGCCACACAAGTAATTGCAATCAACAGTTTAATTGTCTTTTTTTGTTCATTGTATGCAACTATTAACATACAAGCTCAAGGTGAAATTGGCTCCTTAGCTACCTTAGTTTGCTTCCTACCTGTTCATACTTAGCTCCCAACTAACAACAGACACAGCCCAAGCTCAAGTAAACAAACATTACTCACCACTGCCCTCTAAAGGGGTTATAGCCTCAGTCCGAAGTTAATGTTTGTTGTTTTTTTAAGACGTGTTTCAATAAATGCATTTCTGCTTTCCTTTATTTACATTCCTTTTCTTTAAATGATGACTTACATTTGAGAAAAATGCAGTTAGCTCAAATCATTGAGATCAGGTGATTACATAATAATTGTGACAGGTCTAACTAACATTACTGCCGTTTAGGCAGTGATCATATTGACATAATATTCTTTATTCTTGTGGAAGTGATGTACATGAATCAAATAAATTCAATATATTACTTCTTTTGGTGTAGTGGACAGGGCATGATGTCTGTCAACTGCATGTGGAGTGAATTATACATGTTTATAAAGAATGTTCTGGGTCTTTGTTCAACAGTTTCAGTTTCCACCCCAATTTGTGCATCTCTTGAGTCTATGTGGAGCTTCCTCAGGTTGTGCACTTAAAAATGGTGCTTTGGATTGACATGATCCTGATGTAGTTGGGCATGAGGAAATGTGTCACATCAACACAGTTCTTGCCAAAATATGCAAACTAAAAGACAGCAATTGTGTTGATGTAGCATATTTTATTCATGTGCGCCTGATTCACACATTGAATGATATAAATTCAATGCACAATGTTTGTCAGAATGGGAAAGCTACTCTGGATGGCATGCAGCTAAACGGAAAAAGCGTCTACCAGCCAACTGCAAGCTGTCGTGATGTTTGGGTGACAGTTGGATGAAGTGCTGTGTGACATAAGGCAGCAGCACTAATGCCTACTTGAAAAAAAGTGATGCACTGAATGTACCTGACTCAAATGCCATTTGAGTGAAGTGCATTCAGTTTTCCACATGAATAAAATATATTACGTCAATTACATCTTTCAGCTGACTTACTTTTGCCGATAACTGTTTATGTAATATATTTTATGCATACACTAATGCATGTATTTGCGTTAAGTAAATCCAGTGTGACACTGTTTCAGTGTGCTCTCAACTAGCGGAGGACAAATTCTCTCCTCATCTTACCTGTGATCTCCACCACGCCGTCCTTGGTCTTGACCGTGAGCTCCTCAGGGGCGAAGTGGTTCACATCCAGGCTGACCTTCCAGCCATCCGATGTCTGTTTGATCTCAGACACGCCTGTGCTGAGCTGGCGGGACAGGGCGCGGGCATAGGCCGATGGGTGGGGCACTATGGGTGAGGTGGGAAGCTGGCTGGCCATGGCGGGACCCTGCATCAGAGGGGCCATCTCAGCCGCCATTGACGGGCGGATGTAGCCGGGCCAGTGGCTGCTGGGGAAGAGGGGCAGCTCCTCAGGGAAGGCGGGCATGCCGAATGCCTGGTCAAACAGCCTGCTGCCCTGATGCCAGTCACGGAAAGGGTCCCAGGATGGTCCACGCAGGAAGGTGAAGGGGATGCGCCTCTCGGCCATGGCTAGACAAGTGTGCGTCTGGTGTTGGAGGCTCTGGAAGCTAGCCCTCAGGAACTTTCTCTGGAAAGTTCTGCTCGTTTGGAATTGGTAGGCTTTTATAAGCCTCTAACTGTCCACCCCCTTTGGACACACCCTC